CTTTACATATTCACTCCCAAGTTTTACCATGTATTTGAGAAACACTGGGATGGTTCATGCCACCATGCCATCCCAAAAATCCAAGAAATTACAGAAATAGCTACAGAACCAAGACACACCATAACTTAAATTTGTCTTCTCCAGATCAAAACACACCATTCTGCAGCAGACACAGATGCAAAAATAAATGTACATAGTAATTAAATTTTGGTTTATTCCCAAGTTTAGGTAAGGCTTTCTAATTAATAAGAAGAGCTATTACACTGAACTCAAGAAAGTCCATACAACTTCAGTGTTACATGCAGCATAGATACACTTTCTGGGCAAAGACATGTTCATTTTTCCTCTTCTTCCTATCTCTCAGTATTATTTTAAGAGTTCTCTGCAGTCGAAAAGTAAACAGAACTAATTAAAGAACAGTCTACCTTTTTCACACTGATAGAATAACAAAATATTCTGACTTGGAAAGGACCTGCAAGATCACTGAGTTCAACTCTTAAATTAATGGCCCATACAGGGACAGAACCCACAGCCCTGGCACTATTAGCACCATGCTCTGACCAACTAAGCTCATCGCCTATAGTCATTGCTTGGGAGCAAACTAACATAGATTTCATACGAACTAGTTAGTCACACCAAACTCTGCAGAAGTATGAAAAAGTTCACATATTCAGGGCACAAAATCTAAGCAAACTTTCTGCACAGAAGAAAGATTCAAAATGCAAACACAGCATTATTAGGGCTAGAATTTATATATATATATATACACACACACACATATATATACAGAAAAACCAAAACTGACTCCACAGCTTTCCTCAAATTGGTCCAATTTTACCCACTTTTGCAACAGTGCCACAAGGACTGATCAACACTACAGTCAAGTTTGTCAACATATGTCTATCTAGCCATAAACTAATGCAATCATGTTGACACTGAATGATCAAACATAACTTTTGCTGTTGTTTGGGGGCTGTGTTTAGCAGCAACTTTAAAAAAAAATCATTCAGCTGAAGCAAGGGGACTGTCTAAAGTTCAGTTGTTGAACACAGGGTAAGATTACACGGAACTTTTTCCAACGACAATGTTGACAGTGTCCTCAATACTTCAGTGCAAAAGCATTTCTCCTTTCTAGTGTAAGCATGAATTTAATTTAAAAAAAAAAAATCCTTTTTAGTGCATAGGAAACATAGTCATTTCATGCTTTCACATTTTGCATTCACACGATTCAAAACTTATCTTACAGATACAGCACAGTGCAATTGGCACAAGGGAAAGGAAAACCCCCAACCTGGCTGCTCAACACTTTACTTAACAACCCACTTTGAAACAATATGTTTATTACATGTTTTCCTCTTAGCAGGAAAAGTGAGCATGCTTGCGTCTGCAGCTCCTCCTCTTTCAAAGACACACAGCTGCAGCTGTAGTAAACAACCACTAGTCAAGAACTGAGAAGGTCAAAGTCTGGGTGCTGCATCCATTTCAGCCTTTCTAAAAACAAAATTTTTATTTCAGGAAATTAATTTTTTTACTCATTCTGTAGTAATGTCAAGGAAAGGCAAACCACAATCATTCTCCAACAGAAGAAACCAAGATACAGTATTTCAAAAGCCACAAGCAAGACACTTCAGTAAAAATAAGTGTTTTCAGATCTCCATCTTTATTAATGAACAAACACATCATTCACACTCTCCTATTTTACTTGATTCAAACTAAGACTTGGTCAAAACCAACTTTGTACTGATTCAACCTGTTCCACAAAGCAAACACTTACTGAAGGAAAGAGCAAGGAGGTTGGCCATGCAAAGAAGTGGTGCCAGGAGCCACGCAAGGTTCACAGAGGTCATCCAGCAGCCTGAAGCAAGGAGGCTACAGCACTTTATCTCTGGGAATGCTTGCATAAGTGGACATCATGCACCCAGCCATGAGAAAGGGCACTCAGCTTTCCATTATTTTACAGATCATCCAAAATCTAAACAATGGGATACCCTTGAAGCACTGAAAACTCCATCAAATTACATAGACATTCTGCAACCCTCCTGTGCAACAGAGAGCTCCCCAAGCATCCAGAAAAGGCATTGCCCACTTTCCTCAAATACATGGTCTGTATTTCTATTTCACTGTAGTGGTTATCATCACATACCACCTTGGTCTAGGAAAAAAAAAGGAAAACAGTCACTACCGCAGGGTTCTGCAGCCCAAGCCCTTTGCTGACCCCATTCTAACATCTCCCAGGGGAAGAGCTATTTCAGCCCCACATTTCTGCCTCCTCTCATCTGGAGTGAAACTCTGCTCATGCATGTTCAGGTCTGGCTGATCCTGACAGAAACAGCTGGCAGAGGACTCCACGATTAGCCTGTCCTGGAATCTTAAAGTTTATTTTTAAAAGTTGTTACACAGAGTCTTCTTGGGCTGTCAGAGGACTTTCCAGAAAACGTTTTTCTACAATAAAGCAAAGAACGGCCTGGAAATATTAGCATGAACTACTGCTGGGGGAAAAAAAGAGAGAATTAAAAATACGTAATTTCCCATCCCCTCCATTTACACGTCTGATATTGCCTCACTATCAGAAACAGAAAATAAACAGTATCTCCCATATTCTAAACTCCTTCCCAGCCCCTCCAGAATAGATGCACTCACTCATCAAATGACCTATGACATACATCTTTGTCAAAAAGCTGTTTTCCCCACAAAAAAAAAAGGTGCTTCTCAGACTGCGCCCTCCTCCCAGTTCCAGGTACCACACACAGTTAAAAAAAAAAAAAAAGAAAAAAGAAAAAAAAAGAAAAAAAGGTGGGGAAAAATACTGAAAGGGGAAAGAAAAAGAATGAGAAAGAGGAAAATGCCACCACTGTTGTTCTGGCGGCAGTGGGGGGGCGGGCGGGGGTGCTGGCCCGGGGAGGGGCGCGCATGGGTGTCACCGAGGGGGTGATGTCATCCACCAGCCTCCAGCCCGGGCACCTGCCAGCAGCAGCCGAGCAGCGGCTGCCAAAGCCTCCGGCAGCACGGGCAGGGGAAAAAAATAAAAAGACGGTGAAAAAAAAAAAATCCGCAATGTTTCCCTTCGCTATGCGCGGTTGGTTTGTGACGATAGGTGACATGCCAGCTTGCAGAGAGCGGTTTCAACTTGATTACGTCCCATTAGAAAGATATTCGAGACACTCCCCCTCTCCCAGCACGTATAATAAATTAAAAAAAAAAAAAAAAAAAAAGCAGCCTCGGTTTATGCAGCCTTACGTCACTAATAAAATGCTCCTATCGCCCCATCTGTGACCTATTCAGCACAGCTACTAATCCCACGCTGCGACCACTTTGCTGTTCCTGTGCATTTCAGAGTTGTAGACCAACCAGAGAGCAGAAAATGGAGCCCATATGCCAGCGCTATATAAAGCAGCCTCGCAAAGTTGCCGCGAATAATCTACCTGCCGTGGCGAGACGGCAGAAAAGTGAAAAGGAAAAAAAAATCAAAAAGGGTGGTGGAGGGAGGAAGAAGAGTACCATTTACTTCACGATATGTAATTTAAAAAATAAACTAGTTCACTGTCTTACTCAGGGGAAGGGGGGCTGCCAAGAGCTAGCAGGATTTTACAAGCTCTATACAGACCCCGATCAAGTGAACTTCTCTTCAGTGCTTCCCACCGAAACGGCTCGTACCTCCTCCCTAAGCGCACAAAATACCTTATTGCCCAAGCAAGCCCGTTTGAGGGACTGAATTGCACTCCGAGATCCGAAAAAAAAAGCCAAAAAATCCGCTGTCTGGACCGGAGCATCGCATCCCTGCAAACCACGGGGAGGAGAATATAAAATAACCCGTCTGGTAGCTCCTATCCGCCTCCCCCAAAATCCTGCACCACCGCTGGTGGTTGGATGTTGGGGGAGGCGGGTAGGAGCCACATCTCATCCCAGAGAAAATTTCATCCCAACAGCGGAAAGCTTTCGGAGGGCTGCACAGGGTGACGCTGATGCCATGGGGTAACCCAGCTCCCGCAGCGGCTCTGGGCTCACGCGTTAAATGTAAATACCAGCGGTTTGCTCCCCAAGCTCTCGACTTCTCCAAGAGTGAGCATTTGTTCCACAGAAGATAATTATTTCTGTAGAAGGTAATACAGCACCACACTCTTTTTTTATTTTTTCCCCCCATAGAGGGTTATAATCCGATTTTCCCCCCCGTACAGCGTTACACTCCGATTTTCCCCTCCACCGAGCGCTACAGTTTATACTTTTTTGATATTTGTTTTTATATATTAATTGCCTAGCCCCGAATGCGCACGGGGGCCGCCCGCCCCCACCCCCCCCCCCCACCGGGGACAGCAGCACAAAGGGCTAGGCGCTCCCAGCTTGCTGCTCATCACTCTCCGCTTATCGGTTTTTATTTCCTCCCCTCGCCTTTTTCACCGCCACCCTCACCCCTTTTTTCCCCCTCCTAGAGCCTCAGCGGGAAAGTTGAGGGAAAAGTTCGGGCCGGCGCCTAGCACCCTACCCCGGTATCGCTGCCGCCGGGGCACCGGCAGGGATGGAGGCAGGAGGGAGGAGGGGATGGATGGAGCGGGGGAGGGAGCGGGGGAGGGAGGGCACCGCCGTTAACCCCCAGCTCGCCCCGGCGGCGCCGGGGGAAGCGGGAGGGGGGGGGTGCCCTGCCCCCCCCGCCTCTTCTTTAAAATTATTTAACTTCAGTATAGGAGCGGTATTTTGTTTGTTTGTTTTTTTAAATAGAGGCTGGCTGGGACAGCAGCAGCAAAACCCACACACATTAGCCGTTTATCCTGCTAAGAAAGGGAATCGGCACAGACCTGAGCAGAAGCGGCAGAGCAGGAGAAGAAACTGTTTCCTTCCCTGACACAGGGTCCCCGCTCTGTGTCTGTCTGTCCGCCCGCCCCGCGCTGCCCGGGCAGTGCCCCGCGCACTCGCACACCGCACCGGCGGAGGCAGCCGGCGGCCGTCCCCGGGAAATGAATGGGGGCAGCCCGGGGAGCCGCGGCGCTCGCTCGCCACCGACTTACCCGCGTCACATGATGAGCCCGGGCAGGGTGGGCCGGGGGTGGAGGCTCCCGGCGCCGCCTGGCCGCGCCTCGCGTGGGGCCGCCGCGACACCCCGCCGGGCGCTCAGACAAAGGGTCCGGACCGGTGTCCCCCTCCCCAGCTCCCGGCCCCTGCTCCGGCCACAGCGGGCGCCGGTGGCGTCGCTGGCATGCGGCGCGTCCCCGCCCCCACCGGCAGCCGGGCGGAGGGAGGGGAGGGAGGGAGGGGCCGCGCCCCCGCCCCGCGGCCGCCCCGGTGCGCCGCCTGCCCCGCCCAGGGGGGTGGGGACGGGAACGCCCGGCCGCGCCTCCCCCTCCCGGCCCCAGCCCCAGCCCCGGCCCCGGCCCCGGCCCGGCCGCGGGGAGGGGCAGGGCAGCGGGGCGCCGCGGGGAGGGGCCGGGCGCGGCCGGCAGCGGGGGCGCCGAGGGGAGGCCCGGGGCCAGGGGGCGCCGAGGGCGGGGCGGGGTAGGGAAGGGAAGGGAGGCGCTGGGGGAAGCTCAGGAGGGTGCGGGGCCATGGTGGAGCCCGGGGCTCTGGGAGCGCTGAGGGGACACTGAGCGGGGCGAGGCGCTGGGGGAGCCCCGCGGGTAGCAGGCGGAGGGGAGCAGAGGGGAGCTCCGAGGGCGGGCGCGGGGCGGTAGCCGCGCTGAGCGGGCCCCGGGGGACACGCGGTCCCGACCCCGGGGCCGTCCGGGTGGGACAGGACGCCCCGGGCGGTGTGTCCGCCCCAGCGCCGCGCCGCCAGAGGGTCTGCCGGGCCCGGGCCCCGCTGTTACCTGGGGCTGTGCTCTGCAAGCCTTTCCCTTCTCTTTTATTTTGTTTTCTTCGCACAGCCAGACTGCAGCTCGTGAGAAGTATGCGAGGCGTGGGGTTGTGGTTTTTTGTGGTTTTTTTTTTTTTTGGTCAGCGTTTGTAAGCCCTAGTCGCGCCCCTGCAAACTGAGAACTTCCTTTATGGGGAAGATTTTTCTCACGTAAGGGCTGCAGATACTGGGTTGTAAAGATTTTAACAACAACGTATAGAGGAACAGATTCCATAATCTTAAAGTTTGTTTAAAACACAAAGTCTTTGTTTTAAAAGAACTTTCAGAACCTTAGGAAACAAAAAATATAAACCCTTAAGAGTCAGTTAAACCTTTAGAAGTAAATCTCTATTTCTTTTCACAAGCATTCTTACACGTGTTTACACTGTGAAGTATTTTGGTGGAAGGATCCTGGTCCATGCCTGGGCAGTATTGAAGCTATTAAGATGGCCTGATAGGGTACCTAGAGATTCTCCTGCCTTGGAGAGCCTTTTGTTAATGTAGAGCTGCTGTGGCTGTTTTCTGCCTCCTTCCCTGTGGTTGGTGTTGCATAAAGTAAATACGGTGTGGCCAGAGCACAGGTGAGCTTTGACCAGCGCTGCATGCTCAGATGGTTTCTGGCCAATGGTCAGGGGCCATTCAATTTAAGGAAGCTTAATAGCCTTTTGAATAATCAGGGTGCTGTGCTGGCCCCTGGCAGAACTCATGGTCAGAGCAGGTACAAAATGGCAATCTTTATGATTCCCACCCCTTATTCTCTCAAATTCACAGTCAGCTCAACAGTTCCTGAGAGTCTCCATCATAATTATTGGGTAAATAAAAAGCGAAAAGAGGGATGGATCCCGTGTCTAGGAGGTTGGCCTGTCATGTGAAGGTGTTTGTAAGTGCCCATACAGCTTGTGTATTTGCACAGAAAGCCAGGCGGAGTGCAGGTAAATAATTGCTGCTAAATGCTATTACTTTCAGTAAATACAAACTAATATTTGCTGCTCATCACAGTGTTTACTGAAGAAGCCAGAAGAACCAGAACCAATGTTTGTTCCCAAAGAGGATTTCATGCCAGCTGCCAGAAATACATCTACTCATCTCTTTCCCTGTAATGGTTCTCTGCCTCCTCTTGGCATAAATGTTTTGGATAATATAACCCTTTACTATTTGTCTTTGCATCTTACCTCTATTTCCACAAGGGAAAAAAAATGCAGAATAATAAATAAGAAATGTTAAAATGGGTATAAACAGAAGTATATGCCTGCAAAAGGCATAAAAGAGATTAAGCATAATTTGCTATTGTAATGTTGCCTCTGGTCTAATCATTTCCTTTGGAGAAAAGTGAGCACAGAGCTAAAATGCAGTCTAATGACCCAGCTGACATATTTCCTTATGCTAGTAGTTTAGATCAGAACGAGCTCCAGCTCCTGGTAAGTTACATATGTGATTCATTAGATTTCACCTAAGTCAAAAGTTAACGTGTTGTAACACTTGTTTTAAAAGATAAAATATGCAATCCCACAGGAAGCCGGCTACTATAGAAGACGGCTGGAAACATTCCCTGGACAGATGCATAGCTTATATTCAGATTTATCAATTAAAAAATGTGAGTATTAACAACATTCATCCTTCTTAACCACTTGGAACAGGGAGCTCTGAGTTTTCTGCAGGAAAAAAAAAAAAAACTGGTTTCTACCTACCAAGATTAAAGGATTAATGAATACTTGGCACACGAAAAATGAATAGTGATAGCAAGAAGAAGATTGCATGTAGACAGTGTGATAAGGTGTGTAACAGAGAAACATCGCATTGCACACATTGCTGTGCCCTGAGAAAAAGACAAAGCTCATTTCCACTGATTTTCAGATAAAATATTTTAAAACATTAGTATTTATTTTGTCATACTTAAAAATATTTTATTCATTTATATAAAATACCTTAAGAAATCATCTAGAAGAGGCATTGGCTGACTGACATTGGGTGATAAAATTCATTCTTCGTGAGTTTCATTATGTGCTATGTTGGCTGTTTACATGGTCTATTGCCTGCTACTAAAAACTATTACCCATATACATGAATTTGCAGGGCAGTATCTAAAGCAAAAAAATATGTGGTTACGTTTGCAAGAGGAATGTATTACATGATTATATATCAATAGATTGATACAGATGTAGGGATATTACACATTAGTATTTGATATATAACACAGATTTATAGAGAAATGTAGTTCTCAATCACATGCTTTTATGGAAAATCTGTCCTACTAAATCACCATCTTGGCTCACTCCATACACCTGACCCCTCAGTTTCCAGTCTCCTCTAGCTTAACAAAGCTGGGCGTACATTGTCAGTATGAAAATGTTCTGGCTTACATTTTAACACAGAAATACTTTGAAAGCGTTTTGTATTTCTCAAGATTTAGAAAGTTCTCTTTTATTCTTTTTTTTTTTCCTTGAAAGAAGAAAATTTAATTATATTTCCTCTGGATCAACAGGACTTTTCGACATTTTTTCAGAAACACAGTCCTAAATTTTGAAACAGTAACCTTAACAGTGTACTGCCATATATTAGTCTAAAATTAGAAAACTGTACTTTTGAAGCCAGGAGAACAAATCAGTCCACAGACCATTTTTGGTTTCTTGTTTTTTCTAAAGCTCAACAAGTGTGTTTATGTGTGATTTTAAACTTTTTCTGTAGTTCTTCTCCAATTCTGCCCTATTACCTACAGAGCAATACTACTGAATCACTTTTATTGAGTCCCACTGCTTACAATATCAGGTGGCTCTTTCCAGTCTTCCTGTAGCTGTTCTTCCCCAATGGAGTTTCCTAAAACTTACCAAAAACAAGATGCTACAAAATCTCCTTTTGATGTTCCTCAACATTTCATCTCTCCTGATTTTGTTCTCCACTGATACAAAATTTTCTTCATTGTCTTCTTTGTTTTATAATTTTGTCTTAGATCCTAATCCATGTGCAAATAAATAATACTGTTCAATGCAATTTAGCAACTTCTACCTTTAGGCATGCATTAAGGTTATTTTTATATTAATAACCAATCATTTTTCAAAATGGAGAATGGCACCACCAGCAGAGAGCACACTGGAACCTCAGAACAAAAGAAAACAAAAAATCAATAGCATATTTTAACAATGCCTGAAATTGAGAGATTTTGTAATTTAAATTAATACCATTTTTTTTAAAAAATCACTTAAGTTACCTATTGTTTATTCCATTTCAGATAGTATTCAATTGTCTAATTCAAATAACACACAAAAAAAAAATCAACCTTACTACCCAAACCAAAACCTAAATGCATTTTTATTTGGGATGCATGGTTAGACAAAAGCTTTAACAAATTACATGATGCATTTTAGAAGACAGATTGTGTTCATTTGCTGAACTTAGAGAAACCTTTGGGTTGACAGATAATCAATTCAAATACCTACAGCTGAGGGATTGTATTACTAATTCCTTTCACAAGCATTCCCTTTTGGATACAGGCAAATAAAAGTGTTTTCTTTGCCACACCAACAGATACAACCTTTCAGGTATGCTTGCTGTCTTGCAATCCAGCTTGTGGTCATCTTCCAAGTGCTTCCTCCACTGTTTTTCCATTCAAACTGATGTTAAGCTCAACATGAATATGAGGACCTTTCCCCTTTATCTGACAGCTGGCATCAAGCATGAGAGTACAGATTCTTTTGGGCCAGGACATCAACTTCTGTTCCTTTGAACCTACTTAGGAAGTGTTTCAACATGCATACCACTCTGCCATTGAATGCTAAGCTTTGTAGTCAATTTCTAGGTGACCATTAACCAAAACAGTCAGTCTAAAATGTGGAAGCACAACTGTCAAGTTTTAGGGTTGAATTTCATGGGCCTCAATCAAACATCAGCAGTAGTATTCCTTGGGTATGAATGTTGGAGCTTTTGGAAACCATGTCTTTTTCTGTATGTCTTATAAACAAATTGTTTGTTCTTAGTCTGTCAGGAAATCTTTCCTTCAGCCCACTGATACTAGCCCCCCCCCCCCAAAAAATACACAACCTAGCTCGTTGCATAAATGGTAGTGTTAGTGTAAACAATGAAGCCTCTATGATACAATAAAGTATATAATGGAGAGTAGTTCAGTTACACTACACAAGAGAGGAAAATTATAATCTGATATAATTAATAGGTGTGTGTTTTTCTCCAGGGACAGAGATCAAAATATTCAGTTTGCCTGATTTAGACTAGCAATGTTGCCAAGACACATATTCTAGGAAAGTGGGGCCACAAAGTATTAATGCTTCACTCCCTTGATCCAAAAGCTCTGTGCCCTTTTTATAACCTTGAAATGAGATCATGCTTTTTTTTTTTTTTTTTTAAATTTGCCTTCTTTTAGAAAGAGCCCTTAAAGGCTTATGATCTTATTCAAAATCCAGAGGAACAGGAGGAACAGTTCCTTATTTAGTATAATTTGAGACTGGCAAAATTTAATAGGGAGTAGGAAGTCTTCAAAGGACATGTTCTGGGGAAGGTTTGATATGTGCATGTCTTCAATGTTTGGTTAACATTTTTGCAAAAAAAAGCTAACAAAAAAATGGAGATGAGCATTTCCTGGCTCTGAATACTATATCAATGCAATGCCCATGAGTGGAATGTATTGCTCTGTATTTTCGTTTCAAAACTCTGTAGCTGAATTTATGAACCTAAATACCACCCTAATAAAATTTCTTATGTTATTTTAAGGTCTGTGTTCAATTCCATGATCTCAGCTCCTTGCATTAAACACTGTGTTGTTTGGTTGGTTTGGAGACCAAAAAACAAAACAGGTCATCCATTAAACTGCTTTATAAAGAGAGGCACACAGTAGTCTCACATGAACATTAGAACTACTACATTTCTCATGGTACGATACAGGCATCGTATAAGACAATCTTTCCCAATTTTTCCTGTAACTCCCACTGTCTTGTGTTATCTATGGCTCCTGGTAATTTTGTGTTCCACTCCGTCTTTGTAAAACCGATGATGTCTAATTTGTTCCCTGTGCTTGGGTTCCATAGGCTCCAAAAGAAGTTCTGCATGTTAAAGACCTGGAGGGGAGGAGAAGATTCAAAGCCAGAAGAAATGTTTCAGAAGCATTGGTGGGTAGTGCACAGGAATAAGGAGTGTTCTGCAGTCAGGTTAGCAAAGGAAAGCCTTTAGCTGGACATGGATTTTGTATCTACTAGGCAGCCAAAAACATCTGGGATATCTTCTTTGCAGGTATTATCATAACAATCTTTCATGCTTTTCCTGACAAATTTTAGGTATAACAAATATTTGCAAGAACTTATGGTTTTATCCCAGTTGTTTTTAATTTAGCGAAGTTCTTTGTTCTCATGGAGGTGTTAAATAAATTACAACAAAATAAATCTCCCACACATAAGCTCTTGGATGTTTCCTCTTTATCCATACAGCATTCCTCCTCCCCATCTTACAGATGCTTTCTGGCATTACTAAAGCATTCGTATTGATAAATTTTGATTTCAAGGCCATTCAACTTGGCTTTTCCAGTACCAGAAACTCTTCAATTCAGGAAGCATTAACCCAGCATCAAGAATGGAAGAGATTAAGAATCAGATTAGAAACGGGACAGAGCTCTGGGGAGAGGGACTTGCAGGTTGAACATGAGTCAGCAGTGCCCTGGCAGCCAGGAGGGCCAACCTTGTCCTGGGGTGCATCAGGCACAGCATCACCAGCCAGGCAAGGGAGGGGATTGTCCCCTTTGCTCTGCACTGGGGCAGCCTCACCTCGAGTACTGTGTGCAGTTTAGGGTGCCACAATGTAAGACATGAAGCTATTAGAGAGCATCCAAAGGAGGGAAACAAGGATAGGTCTGGAGGGAGAGCCGTATGAGGAGTGGCTGAGGCCACTTGGTCTGTTTAGTCTGGACAAGAGGAGGCTGAGGGAGACCTCATTGCAGTCTGCAACTTCCTTGTGAGAGGAAGCAGAGGGACAGGTACTGCTCTTGTGACTGGTGACAGGGCTCAAGGAAATGACATTAACTGAGTCAAGGGAGGTTTAGGTTGAGTATCAGGGAAAAGATTTGTCTCTTAGGGGACAGTTGAGCATTGGAACAGGCTCCCCAGGAAACTGATCATGGCACCAAGCCTGTCTGAGTTCAAGAAGTGTTTGGACAAAACTCTCAGGCACAGCGTGTGACTCTTGGGCCAGGACTTTGGACTTGATGATTCTGATGGGTCTCTTTCAACTCAGCATATGTTTCTGTGACTGCAAATGAAAAATGGTTCTTTCCAACTCTTCTGTTATGTAATTAGGTAGGCTTGAAATGCATGGGTTTGCACCTGAGCATCATGGACATATCCATGATTGTGGTTATTTTCTGGATAGTATGCTTTCTTGATATGGAATGTTGATGACACACAAGCATTGAGAGGCTTTATCTGGACTCAGTTATACATATCACATTACAGATGAGTAAAATGAGTAATTTTTTTAAAATTAATTTTAGGGTTTTTTTTTAAATGCTGAATTTCACAGATTATTAACCATAGTTGTACCACTGGGTATCAATATAACAGTTGAAAAAATCTAAGCATGGTATTATAGCAATTTCTTACTTAATGCCTGGGCTTGTTTGTGTAATTTTTGGTTTTTTGAGCTAAGAGAATAAATTTGTTTGAATGACTGCAAAGCTCAGTTAAGTACCAGTTATCAATTCTCTTTCTAATGACAACTGATAACATGATTTTTACAAATGGTTGAGCATTTGGCAAATGCTAACGATAGAAATCGAATGAGCTGAAAGAAACTCCAGTCTGCCCTATTGTCACTACTGAGCTGACAGATGGGAAAAAGAGGAGGAGGTTGTGATGCTCTCTCAGAAGCGCAGGGGCTCACAGCAAAATTACTGCTGAGATGCCTTGACAGACCGTAAGTGAGAGAGGAGCAGATTTCTGAAGAGCCGACATCCCCTATGTATTGCTTTGATACAAAAGTTACCCTGTCTACCACAGCCTCCCCAAATGAGCTGGCCAAATTCTCTGTGGAGCACTTAGCACCGGAACTCATTTGAACCTCAGCAGTGGAAGTAAAATTGAATTTCCCTGACAGAAGGAGGAGCTGGAGCCAGGGTACCTCCTCCAGCAGCTGCTGGAATAGTGAGAGGGCAGGACTATTCTTACAGCTGCCCCAGGCAGGTGGCCCGCATGCCAGCATCTGCTGCTGCCCTGGACACTGTCACCTGCCTGGGCCCTATCAGCATGGCCAGGGTGCTTTGCTATCCTGGCTGTCTGGTGCTGTGAACATCTGCTTGCTCTGCTGGTGCCTAAGCAGCAGGGGAAATCACCCAGTATGCAGAAAAGCCTGTAAACCCTAGAATAAAATTTGAGAAATGGGCAGCGGAAGTCAGTTGGGATTAAATCACTCTGCTTTGCCTTTCCTTACCTTTTTTTTTTTTTTTTTTTAATCTCCACAATTAATCAAATGCATCTCCTTTGGTTTTATAAAAAGTGACTCGAGAAGTTAAAAGTACCAAACTTCAGTAGCTTTACCCATATGTGCTCCATGCCTCAGGCTAGACAGCACATATTGGTAGCCAGACTGAGAAGAACATTTACCACATTACCTCTTCAAAACTCACTTTATTTTTCTTGTTGAGCTGGCCTCCATCCAATGTGACACTCCAGCGTGAGCAGTGTAGTGACAGCAACAGCCTCCATGGAAACACACCCGAGCATGAGGCCAGCCGTGGGGTAGACAGAAAAGGCAGCTCTGTCCCTTGTCCTTAGTCTGTGTGTTTTTGCTCTGAAGAAGCTTTCTTTTCATTTCTAAAACATTATTATGAGTGCCTCTCCTATGTTAGTGTGTCTTTGCTGAGTCTCTTGTAGCAGTGCAAAGTTACGCTGAACCTGGGAAACCTGGGGCTGTTTGCAAGGCATCACCATTCCTCAATCTCAGAAACCTCCAATCCTCTTTAACATGCTGGAGCCAGGAGGGAACCTGGCTTTCCAGCTGAGACACAAATAAACTCTGGCTGCTGTGGGTGGAGGTTTGAATGTGCACTGTGGACTGGCTGGCTCTTGCGGACAGTGCCCTGCTGGCAGCCGTGGTGCTGCTGTGCCAAAGACCCTGCTAACTGAATGCATCTTCTTGGCAAGATGGAGAGAGCAAAGGAAAACAGCATCTCAGAAATTTCCTTGACGTCTCAGAATTTGACATACACCCTGTCTCATCTAAGAACAAGTGTGTTGGGAAAAGGGTGGGTGGAGGGGAGGTGTTAAGCAGGTTGCTCTCCCAGTAGAGTACTGGGGAGACTTTGATGATCAGGATGCCCTGAGAACAAAACACCTCATCATCAGGGCTATCACCATACCTTCCTCTCTAGTTGTCTAATGCCATAATAATATAATTCATTATATAATATAATATAATTCATTATATCATTTCCTCTTAATATTTCTCTGAATTTTTCCTTCTCATACCATAGAAGAAAATCTCTCAGTCTGACTATCTACTATTTGATACAGTGAACGAGGTAGCTATTTGGCATTGTTCCAAGTCTTCAAGCATTTCACAGACAACAGTGTAAATCCAGCAAAATTTGTGCACCTACAGGGTAGCTGCTACTGTGCTAAACTTCCAGACGCCTGGCTTTACTTCCACTGACAACATGAGTTTCACTTCACATCACTTGTAGGCTCCCAGCTCTGAATTCATACTGTGCAGTGGGAAATACCTATTCTGGATGTGAGAATCCGGTGCCACAGCCAGAGTACTGAGCAGGGAGTGTCTTAAACTAATCAAGAAGAATGACTGAAAGCAGTTGTATAGTAAAATTTCCCATCTCAGCATGTAAAGAGCCTACACATGGGTTGCAATGAAGTAGTTTTTGGTGGGTGGGAGTCACAGTGTAGTTCTATTCTGAGCTAAGCACCTCAGCCATCTTTCCAAGGAGCTGAATTAGCTCTTTTTTTAGTTTAAATGATACATCAGTACCCTGACCATATATGACATGTAATACAAAATGTAACAAGCACATTTTAGTGTCTAATGCTTTAATACATAAGTTATGAATAATAATAATAACAGATTTGTCAGATATCTTTGTCATATCAAACATTTCAATGGACATCAAGAGTCACACTTGGCTTCCACATGGACTCCAGCACTTCTGACACTGATTTGGTTGCTCCTCATGTCTTATCAATCCCAAGTGCTTTAGGTAGTTATGTGTAACACCAGGTCACTAGGCTAAGTCTGCTGTGAAATCTTTCAGGTATAACAACGGATCTTAATAAATCTGGGCACTATTTCCTTAGTTAATTTCCTTGCGAGATTCTTTGTTCCCTGATTTCTCAGACACACAAGAAAACTAATTGTGCATCATAAGGGAACCACTCACCTGGCTTCCTAAGTGATACTTCTCATCTATTGCAATTACTTCTCCAAAATCACCACAGGTTCTAGAATTCCACTTAACACCCTTAATATCAATTTCCAGTGTATGAGCCTAGGTCCTGAGTTTATATTAATTTGAACATTTACATTGAGCTAGTGGTCCTCAGCATGTTTATCAAGTTGTTCATGTGGTCCATGAACGTGAGAACTTCCCAGGATCCTTCACATCACTTTTCACCTTTTCTCTTCCTCATCCATCTTTCTTTCTTGCCTGTCTCTCATTCTAAGAGAGCCTGATCATTCCAGCATCTTTACAGTGTAATACATTGAAAAGAAACTTTGTTGGCTACCTTTATATCGCTTTATATCACTTACACTACCATAGCAATACAGCAAAGAATGCCATCTAATTTACATAAATTCACACAGAGGTTAATTAGTATATGGAGGTTAATTTCAAAAAGAGTGCACTAGGAAAGCAGCAAAAAGCAATTCTTTCCTTAACTGGTTTTGTACACACACGTCCTTCTATGTTTTACAAATGTACTTAGGAATTTCTGTCTTCATTTTCTGGGAAGATTGCATGTCAGGTAGAAAGGAAGTCTGTGTCTGTCTGAGTGGTTACTTGCTGACCTTTTGATGTGGGATATAGTATTTGGAAATATTGCCATCACATGCTGTCACAATTGCATGGTGAGCACTGTAATGCTACACTTGCATGCATCTGCTGCAGTGGAACAAAAATAGTTCTCCTTCTACTTGAATAATTTGATACAAACATCACATTAGAAAGAATAGGTGTTGATTCAAACCTCACATTAGCAATAATATGTTCCCAGCTCTGTCCACAAGGAATGGAGAGAAAGTGTTAATTTGGTGAGCCCACATGCTGGAGGAAAGGCAGGGCATTTAATGTTAGCAGGGAAGGACAAAGGTGATTATTTTTCTGTGTGAGAAGAAACATTCTGGGGGCTATCAGAAACTGCTCCCAGGTGGCAAAGAAAGAAGGCGATCTCTGGGTCTTGC